GGGTCTAGGCCCGAAACGTCAGCCTTTCTGCTCCTATGATGCTGCTTGGCCTGCTGTGTTCAACCAGCCCTGCACCTCTTTGTAACATCCATGCTTTTTAAGTCAATTCTTGATATCACGTAAATTTAATCAAGTTAACTGAAGATTAGTATTAGTAATGCTGAGGAGGCAGAAATAGATAATCCACTCAGCACTTCTAGATGAAGATGGAAGCAAAACTTCTGCTGTGAATTTTTTAAAAAAAATATAGATGATGTTCTGGGTTTCCCCGTTATTGGGGAAGGGGATATTTGTGGAGGCTGCTCCTCCAGTTAGTTGTTAGGACTGCAGAGCTTTGATCTGATCTGTTGGCTTTGGGGTTGTTTAGCTCTGCATACATAATGTTGGAAGTGCATCACTGAAATTCTTGTTTTATGGGGTTCCATCCAGACCATCAAGTTTAGCTCCTCTGCTGTTTCCTCACAAGTCCCTCCTGCATTGTTATTCCTCTAAGCTTTACACATGTATATATTTTCATGGAAAACCTTTACTTAATATAGCTTTATAAGTCTGAGTATTGATGAAAACAAAGAAGGACATGCTGTCAATGCATTTTACCTTGTGCTAATTAGGACAGAATTGAAACAGTACCAAATAAAGAAAAGGGAACAACAATTTAAAATGCATGAGAAAAGGATGCAGATCTTTGGCAAGTGTACTTTGAATGCTTGAAATGTTGTCATCAAGAAGGTACTGGGGCAAAGTTATTCTTCAAGCGTTTGTTCAAATACAAACCAGGCATGTAATTTCTAATTGGGTGAAGGCTTGCCATGGAAAAATACACATTTACAAATTATCCATTTTAAATAAGTTTTAAAATAATTTAAGAAAAACATGGGAAACAATTGTTCCCTGGTCCTTTTCCATGGTAACACTTCAACCACTCAGAATCCATTTACCAACCAATCAGCACCCTTTCTCATGTAGTATAAAATTTGCTACTCCCTTTAAAGTCTTTTTTATTCTTCCGATTCTGTCTTGATTAGTGCAAGATGAAAAATTTGACAACATCTCTTTTCACCAATTCTCAAGATTTGTACTGCCAGAATCTATTCAGAAAGATTTCAACTTATTACATTTTTTAAAAATTAATCACTCGACACTTTCAGGAAAATTAAAATGGTGTGTTCACAATTAATAGTCAACGAGTTACCTTATGTTTACTCCAATGATTATATTTATAATCTTTATTTTTTAACCTATTCTTATAAATTTAATATTCAGATAGTCAGCCTAAATTCTGTTATAAACATTGAGCTGCATCCTGTATCTGTACTGTTTTCTCTATTAAGGCACAGCAAACAAAACGATACCAACCTGATTCTCTTTTTCTGAGGTGAACTCATGTCGAATTGTATTTTGTGGTGCTGCAAGGTGTTGATGTAAGGAATCATTTCTCACCTGTGAAACTGAATAGCAAATTGGGATCAAAAATATTTTTAAAATGAGAAATCTGCACCCTCCAATCTTCACTATTTAATGCATTTGAACAGATATGAAGAATTTGTTCTGACAGAGCATTTTAAATGAATTCATTCATATATATATATATATACAGGGATACACATATGCATGATTTTTGCATAGTTTGTGAAATACAAACATAACCCTGCAAATTACGAGTTGTGTAACATATAATTAAAAAACAGTCTATAGATGCAAAACATTTGGATAATTAACTGAATCTGCCTTCAGTTTTGCTCAGTTCTCAGGAACCTTTATCCTTGTATCTCAGCATGCCTTCTGCACAGATTTGATAAGCTGCAGATGCTACATATCCCAATATCCATGATACCTATAGAATTACTGATTGATATTTCATTTATGTAATATATTTTTATATTGTTTAATTTAAACCAATATTGACTCAGAAGAAAAGCTGTGTTGTGAAAATGAATAATTTCATTGTGTGTTTTAGGAGTTTAACATTAAATAATTCAATCCACAAAAGGTGAATGGAAATCCCTGATGCAAAACAGAGGCCTCAATCAATCACCATTGAAAACATTGCCAATGTTTGTCTAATAAGGTCAGAGACAGACACGGAAAAACATTAAATAATAATGTCTTTAAATAAATAATAATAAATTAAATTAAATAATAATGTATTAAATAAAGAGGTTCCCTTCTGAGTTTCATGGTGGCAACCCTTTCAAGTGGGTCCCAGAATCAAAAGGGTTGTTTTGACAGTAAAGTTAATTAATGTAAATCTCTATCCGGAACATCCCAGACATATCATGTTGCCGTGGGGCCAGATTGCAGGAGTTTCTTTTTGTTTTTAGGTTTACCTGGGTGTTTTCTCACAGAAATATGCAGTTAGATTATGGGTCTGGGAACTGCTTTGAAAAGTTGACAGAATTTGCCAGGAGCTGTAAACCAGTAACAAAAGAGCTGTCAAAAAGCAAGGGTGCTTTCTGATTTTGGAATCACTGAGAAAGCAGTGGGGCCATCCTTGAACTGGATGTCCACAATTATGAATGATTAAAAAAAACAGACGATCACCTAGCCAGATGTTACAGGCTCAGATGTACAACACAGAAACAGACCCTTCAGTCCAACTTGTCCATGCTAACCAGATATTCTAAATTAATCTAGTCCCATTTGCCAGCATTTGGCCCATATCCCTCCAAACCCTTCCTATTCATATACCCATCCAGATACCTTATAAAAGTTGCAGTTGTACCAGCCTTCTCCACTTCCTCTGGCAGCATCACCCTGTGTGTGAAAAAGTTGCCCCTTAGGTCCCTTTAAATCTTTCCCCTCTTACCTTAAAACTATGCCATCCAGTTTTGGACTCCCCTACGCTGGGGAAAATTCTTTGACTATTCAACTCTATCTATGCCCTTCATAATTTTATAAAGGTCATCCCTCAGCCTCCAACACTTCAGAGAAAATAGGATCCCAAGAAATCTCAGAAATTGCTGGAAAAGCTCAGCAGGTAGCATCGTGGAGAGAAATCAAGAGTTAACGTTTCAGGTCAAGTGGCCAGACCTGTTGAGCTTTCCAGCAATAGTTCAGTGGTACAGTGGAAACGCTCAGGGGGAATCAGAGTGGATTCCTGAGAGCTGCAGTATATCTTGGTTTAGGCCTGTGAGAAGTGAAGGAATCCTCAGGACCCTACACAATACAGGGGAATCATTGTGAAAATTAGTGAACAGGTAGTTTCCTGTTGAGATTTTCAGGCTTAAAGAATATGTATTCATGAATAAGTGTAGAATTAGTCATACTACTTTATCCAACTTTTGTACAATAAAATCATGAAAACTTGTGGCGTAACTCAGTTAATAACTGGAAGCATTTTTTGTTTTAAATGTTACTGGTTTCCCATGAGATCATAACAACTAAGATCTAGCTTGTCCAAAAGTACCATCAGCTGGGGTCATAACAATAATCTGTAGAATGACAGCTAATTTCAAAAGATTGGTGAAATGGCCAGACACGTGGCAGATGAAATTTAATACATAGAAATGTAAATTGGTGTACATTGAAAGAATTTTTTAAAAAGACAACCAAAGCAAATAATACAAATTTAAAGCAGGAGCAAGGACTAAGAAACCTGCAGCTCTACATACAAGTCACTGAAAGTTACAGAACTAATTGAGAAGGCATATGCAATCTTTGGCTTTATAAATATAAGCACAGCACAAAAGTCTACAAGTTGTGCTAAAGTTGAACCTTAGGCCTCATCTGAAGTACATGTCCAATTCAGGGCATCACACTTTAGGAAGGACATCAGTACTTCAGGGAGCAAGTCTGCTGGATAAGTACCAGGGATAAGGGACACCAATTATTTGGAGAGGCTACAGAAGCTGAGAACACTCCCATTAGTGCAAAGGCGGCTCACGGGGTCTTAATAGGTGTCCAAAAGGAGGAGTTGTAATAGAGTAAAAGAAATGCACTCCACTGAAAATAGGGTTAGTAACTTGAGGATACAAATTTAATAATATCTTAAAGAACTGGGGAAGGTAAGGAGAATTTTTCCCCAATAAGCAGAGCTTATTGTGATATAGAATGCACTGACTGAAAAGGGTGGTAGAAGCGAATTCAATAAAAACTTTCAAAATAAAATTAAGTAAATACTGTGAAGCAGGCCAATAGGAAAGGGGTGGGAGTATGACAATAATTGAAAAGCACTTTCAAAGACACAATGGGCCAAATCACCTTTTTCTGTACTGCATAATTCTATGATCCTTGTAAGAAAAAGAATCAAAAGCCAGTTATATATTTCCCAGCAGTCTGCTTAAGATAACACAGAACATCAATCATGTTAAATAAGATTTTTGGACAAAGACATGAAGTAGAAACAATATGTGTCGGCATAGCTGGACCTAGTAGGGGAGTGGAAAAGAAGCCTCATGGTTCATTATATCCAACTAAGTTGTCTGGGAAAAGGCAAAAAGATGTCCACACAAGAGATAAGTAAAGAAATTCCATGAAATTGAATGGTTAAATATAATTAGAATAATGATCGACCTGAGGTATACATTGGGCTCTAACATAAAGGTATATATTACGTGACAATCAAGAAGCAAGGCCTCGCTCAGCTGCATTCATACTGAATTTATGCCGGTGTAAACATAACACTCAGCCAATTCAAGAAACAACCAAAGAATAGATCACTGCCACTGGTTTTTTTATTGATAATCTGTGAACAAATCCTACATCCAGTAATACCCTCTGCAAACATGGCGTACAATAAAACCAGCTGACCAACAGAAATGTCTTTCAGGTCATTTGCAAAATGCAGTTTTGTGCAACTTCCAACAATCTGAGGAAGCTAAAGAAAAAAAAACAAAAGAAATTTGGATGCTGGAAATCAGGAAGAAAATTAAAAATTGCTGGAAAAGCTCAGCATGTCTGGCAGCATCTGTGGAGAGAAAGCTGAGTTAACATTCTGGATCCAGTGACTCTTCTTCAGTTTTGCTGCCGGACCTGCTGAGTTTTTCCAGCAATTTCTGATCTGGGGAAGCTATCCCTTTCATAACAATCCAAAGTAATCCAAAGTATTTCAAAGGTAATTTTTGTATGTTAGCTTTCAATGGCTTTATTGACAAGGAAACCCTGGTCTCTTTGTACATTTATGTTGTTCAATCTCCCATCAATTAAGAAATTAGGAGATTACACACCTGTTCCTTTACCAAAAAGGATAACTTCATATTTTCCACATTGTACTCCAACTGCCATGCTCTTGTCCACTCACTAGGTCTGTCCATATCCTCTTGAAGCCTCTTTGCACTTTTCTGACAGCACACATTCAAACTAGCTTTGTGTTATCCATGAACTTGGAAATATTTGATCTGGTCCCCGCTTCCAAATCATTGATGCATATACAATGAACAGTAGGGGCCCGAACTACTGATCCTTGCAGTACCCCATTAACTACAGCATGCCAACACGAGAATGATTCATTTATCCCTATTCTGTTTTCTATCTGAAGATATATTACTTCCAATCCATGTGCTTTAACTTTGCTAATCAACTCCTATGGGGGAACTTTATGGAAAGTCTTGGAAAATCCAAAATATACCATTCCACTGACTTTCATACAGTTATATAGTACAGAAACAGGCCCTTCAGTCTAACCAGTCCATGTCGAACACAATCCCAAACTAAACTAGTTCCACCAGCCTACTCCTGGCCCATATCCCTCCAAACCTTTCACAATCATGTGCTTATCCAAGTATTTTTTTTAAATACTGTAATTGTACCCATATCAACCACTTCCTCAGGAAGTTCAATCCATATATGAACCACCCTCTCAGTAAAAATTTTGCCCCTCATGTCTTTTTTAAAACCTGTCTCCTCTCACTGAGTGCCCCTAGTCTTGAAATCCCCCCATCCTAGGGAAGAGACACCTACCATTAACCCTATCTATACCCTCATGATTTTATAAACTTCTATAAGATCACCACTCAACCTCCTACACTCCAATAAATAAAGTCACAATCTATCCAGCCTTTTATATCTCCAACCTTCCATGCCTGGCAACATCGTGGTAAATTTCCTCTGAAAACTCTCCAGCTTAATAATATCCTTCCTTTAACTGGATGACCAGAACTGGACACAGAATTCCAGAAGAGGCCTCACCAATGTCCTGTACAACCTCAAAAAGACTTCCCATCTCACATACCATCTCTCACGGGTCATATATTAAAAAAAAAACAAACTTTCTGCATTAAAGAACTACAGACTGTGCTGTTCCAGTGGACCTATTTGAATTCAACTCTCAACAAATGGCAGTGGTACACCAAAGCAAAAGCCTCACTGAAGAGAATTGATAGCAGACTTCCCTTTATCATTTCTGTCAGTAACATAGCCAAAAAAATCCAAACAGGTTTGTCAAGCACAATTTCCCATTTATAGATTCATACAATGCTCAATTAGATCATCAAAGTGCACATTTATGATATTCTTTAGCACAGATTCTAGCATTTTCCCTACTCCTGATGCAACGTTAAAAAGGTCTGTAATCCCCACTTTCTCTCTTAAATAGTTAGATGATACTTGCTACCTTCCAATCTGTAGGAACCATTTCAGAATCTGTAGAAGTTTGGAAGATGATCACTAAAGCGCCCACCATCTCAAAAGCTACCTCTTTTAATATCTGAGATGTACAATATCAGGTACTGTTAACTTATTGACCTTCAGTCACATTAATTTCTCAAAAAAAATTATGAATATTGCTTTCAATTCTTCATTGTTACTAGCCCCTTTGATCTCTTTTTGTGGGAGTTTTCTTGTACGTTCCTCAGGTGAAGGTAGACAAAGTAATCATTTAGTTTCACAGTTATGTCTCTATTCCCCATATAAATTCCCCTGACACTGACTGTAAAGGACCCAATTTGTCTGAGCCAAATGTACATTTTAAAAAAAAATCAAGAGAACCTTTTACATTCCATTATGTTTTTGCTCATTCACATTCATATTCTATTCTCCTTGCTTATCAGTTTATTGACGCTGCTTTGCTGCATTCTAAAATTGTCTCAATCCTCAGGTTTACCATTACTTCGGACAACTTTATATGCCTTTTCCTTTGATTTAATACAATCCTTACTTCCTTTTGTTAGCCACAGTTAACCATTTTGGTTTTTTCTTGTGCCTTGAAGGAATATTGCAAACAGTGTGATAGTACACAGGCAATGGATAGTTTTAAAGAACTATCATACCTTTTAATGTATTTTCCCCAAAGTACCCTGGCACTTTATCTTTCATATAGTTTCCTTTGTTCAAATTTAACACCCTCGCTTCAGATTGATCGACCAACCAACCCACAAGCAATGTAAAATTCTATCATATTACGCTCACTCATCCATTAGAAGTTATTTTACAGGAAGATTATTAAATTGGCCCTTTATTGTTATACAATCCGATATGTAATATAGCCTGTTCTCCAGTCAGTTCTTCAACATACTTGTCTGGAAAACTATCCCTAGCACGCTCCAGAGACGCATCCTCCCAAGTGAGTGTGCTTATTAGTTTACCCAGTTTATATGCAGACTGAAGTCACCAATATTACTATATTATCCAAACTGCATGCTTCTCTACTCTCGCACGTTAATACCATGCCACACAATACCACAACTGTTTGGTGACCTGTAAAAAAACTCCAGTGTTTGCTGTCCCTTTTTGTTTCTTGGTTCCACCAAATAGGTCCCACATCTTATTCTTCTGATTAGAAATCCTCCCTGATTCCATCCCTTATCATCTGTGCAACATCATCTTTTCCTTTTTACCCATCCTGCCCAAACATCAAAAATAACTCCTATTGCCTTCAAACATTCTGAGACCAAGTTTAATGCCTGCAATAAAATTAATTACATACAGTCAACAACCATCAAGTCTGACAATTCAAAGAGTCCTTCCATCTTTTGATGAGCCATAGAAAAATTCAATTCAAGTTTAATAAACGACATTGTGACAACAGTTTCTGCCTCATTTATCCTTCAATATTTACATTTTAATTGTTTTATTGCCCATAAACAATACAAGCTGTTTTTATCACAAATGTCAAGAAAATAAACTGCATACCATAGTTTGATGATGTTATAGTACCATATGACTCCACAGTATCACTGGCTTTACTGGAGCTTTGACTCTTTGAACGTTCATGCCTGATCAGTTCCTCCAGATCTGAAAGAAAGAAATGTGTTATTGCATTTAGTCCTAGAAAAACAAGAAAGGTAGACTTACATTTATACAGCACATTTCACAACTACTGATTGTCTTTGCAATTTTGAAGTGTAGCTACCACTTCACTGCAGGAAAAGACAGCAGACAATCTGCACTTAGCAAACTGGCATAAACAGCTAAGTGATAATACTAGATAATTAACACCACATCAAACATATTAAAAGATAGAATATTGGTCAGGACACTGGGATAAATCCCTGCTCTTCTTTGAAATAGGAACCTTTTACACCCAGCAGGCAGGCGGCTTCAATTTAAAGGGTCTTCTGAAAGATAAGCAGCACTGGAGTGTCAGGTGAGTTTTGTGCAACAGGCCTGGACTGGGTCTTGAACTCAGAACCTTGGTGATTCAAAGAGTGCTATCAACTGAACCACAGCATGCATACACAGATCTGGAACAAATTTTATTTAGAGAGTTGCAGCAAAGCAGACAAGGCTGTACCCACAAAGTATTTACTATTACTATAATTACAATTGTGACTTTCAAACTAGACAATGCAGGATTTTTTCTCAGAGCAAGTCTGCTCACAAAAAGGTGTGTCAGCATTATCGATCATCCAGTGTTTGGTGATGTGTGAAAATTGAGGAACAATCAGTTTGTGCTCAACACGTGCAGTTTTTCATTGAACCATAAACTGTTAAAACTTTACAAATCGCCTCACTCAACGTTAGGATCCTGCAATCGGAGGACTTACTTCCCTCCACTTCGTGACTCTGGTCAGAGCAGGAATGGTCACACTTCAAAACAATCCATCAACAATTGAGAGTGCCCACTTGATCAAAGTACCATGACTGTAGGATTTATAAAATCCCAATCATTATGTCCAGCTGTATGAAAGAAATAAAGTGAAACCCCCATTCATCAGTTAAGTTTGAGGACAGCATTAAAAATAAGCCTAAATAAAAACCGAAAGAACTGCGGATGTTGTAAAACAGGAACAAAACAAAGTTGCTGGAAAAGCTCAGCATGTCTGGCAGCATCTGTGAAGAAAAAAATCAGAGCTAACGTTTCGGATCCGGTGACCCTCAGACCGGCTGAGCTTTTCCAGCAACTTTGTTTTTGTTCCTGTAGTTTAAAAAAATCCTCGTAAGAATAACTAGCTATTTCTGCACTCACCTATCACCATACCACCTACCTTCCCCAGCTCCACCCTTCCTCTCCCTATTTATTCCAGAGACCCCTTCCCCTCCCCCATTTCTGAAGAAGGGTCCTGACCCGAAACGTCAACTTTCCTGCTCGGCCTGCAGTGTTCCTCCAGCTCCACACTGTGTTATCTCTGACTCTAGCATTGGCAGTTCTGACTATCTCTTCCTATATCTGCAGCTGGTTGTGGCGTAGCTTCTCACCTTTTCTGAACTCTCGAAGTTGATGCTCTGGGACGTTGCGATAGCCCAACAAGTCCAACTGCTCTCGAACATCTTGGTCTGTAAAATCCAGTCCTGCCATTGCTGGAGACAAAATGAAACCCTCCTTTCAGCGTCACAGTGTTATAAATTCAGGAGTACGAATATTAAAACCAGCGAAGTAATTGTCTTCAAAAGGACCTATCCAATAGCCAGATCTCCACAAAGCCAGATGCAGCTGGTCCACCATTCCTCAAACTAATTAAACCCCACCACCCCCATTAAATGGCTTGACTTCGACATAACTCACCTCTACCCCAAATCAACTAGCAGCTAGCTCTGACAGGACCCTTTCAAGATTCTCTGACTCTCACTTGTCCAACGGTTTCCTCGCGCGGACCGAATCGCGGGAACCTTCCAACTGTTCAAACAACGACCGTTAAAAACAAAAGCCAAAGAGATGCGTTAACTTGGCAGTGTAGTCAGACTGCCTCCGCCGAAGACGCCATCTTCCGGTAAGCAGTAACTGTTACTGTTACTGTCCCGTCCAGTGACACTTCCGCCCCGCCGTCTGCCTGCATGAAGCCTTATTTTTTCACGCCAAAAAAATTTATTTTTGAAGTGTTATCCAGGCAAACAGTAGAAGATAAACATCGTCAAGTGTAGGCTATCTACAAACCGCAAATGTTGTTGGTTGAGAGAATTAAGCGTTGGCGCACGACAGTTGCTTTTAGTGGTATGTCGTTTCTTTCAATTTTATCAGTTGCGGTCCAAAGTTTAAACTTCTCATTTAAAATATGTGCGATTCAACAACGCAGCAATCCCTTAATTCTAGAGGTGAAAATATTTTAACCAACTTGTTCATATATGTTATGACACACTTCCATCGAGTACGTAGCCCAAGACTTAAGGACGTTACCATTGCACCACTGGCTCCCATTCCGTAGGTTTAAAAGTTGCTCACTAATCGAATGACATAATTACAGAAACAGGTTTCTGCTCCTCGGATGCTGTCTGACCTGCTGTGCTTTTCCAGCTCCACATTTTTAGACTTTGACATTCAGTCCGAAAGTTTGTGTTGGTATTTTATGATGCACTTGAGTCTCTCATTCTATTTATCTTATCCCAAATTTTCAGCATATCCATTCCTTTTTCTCTTGAAAAGAAATGTTGGTGACTGGACCCTTAAAACTTAGCAGTGTAGTTGACTTTGTGAGAAAATTAAAACTGGAAGCTATCAATGTAAGATAGTTACCGTTCAGTCAAATAGAGAATTCAGAAGAAACTTCTTTACCCAAAGAGTGGTGAAAATGGAGAATTCACTCTCACTGGGAGTAATTGAGGCAAATATTATTTACGTATGTAGTTTGTGTGTACTGCCTCTTAAATAGGGTAGGTCAGGTGAACCAAATAGGGGGTGCTAGGAGACAGACTAGGTCAGACTGTTCAGGTTATAGTTCAGGTTTATTTGAAATTACAAACTTTCAGAGTGTGTAGCCCTTTCTACACTCTGAAAGCTTATGATTTCAAATAAACCTGTTGGACTATAACCTGGTGTCATGAGACTTCTGACTTTGCCACCCCACTCCAACACCGGCACCTCTGCATCTTAGGTCAGACTTGTGCAGTTATAAAGACATGAAATAAACTCCTTCTGGTTTAAATTTCTACAGGACTACCTTGTGGTCTTTCGATAACTTATAATCAGGTCCAGACATAATAACTGGCGACAAGGCTGAGTTACGGCCCACTAACTGTGTTACTGCTGATTTCGGAAGGAGGGGACGAGATCAAACGTCACTTGGACTTTGCAAGCAGTGTGGGTTTGTGAGGGTAGCATGCTAGACTTGCTGGGAGACAAACCAAAATGTCAAGGGAAGCAGTTATGAGGGGAAGAAGGGTATTCACCAACGAACAGGGCAAGAGTGGCAGTCATCACGGGCCTTGGGCTACAGCTAATGGCTTAAAAACGGGAGTACTCACCTGGGACCTTACCAGCAGTATTGTGGATTCAGTTGTGAGGGGATTCAGTTGTGAGGGTCTACCTCTTGGACTTGAGTAGCAGGAAAAATTCCTGCCGGTGGGAAAACAAAATGGTGGGACAATTTGGAGCAATGGGAATATTTCACAAAGAGACAAAGTTGGATTATGTACACCAAATGTTTTAATGCATACTTGAAGGCAAACAGAGTGGCTAAGAATTTAACAGGACCGGTTTTCTTGAGCATCATTGGGAGCAAGACCTTTGCAATTTTAAGAAATCTGCTGCAACCAGAGAAACAAGCAGTGAAGACCCGTAATGAACTATGTGAAATGTTGGCACCAATTTTACACCAAAGCCACTGATTATCGTGGAATGTTTCCATTTTTATAAAGGGCACAACAGGATTGTTCTTTGCCCAATTCATGGCTGCCTTCGAGATTAGTAGAAACTTATGAATTCCGAGCATTCCTCCAGAATGCCTTATGGGACCAGTTGGTTTGTGACCTCCAACATAATGCCATTCAACGGAAGCTGCTAACAAAGAGAATTTGATGGAGTTGGTAGCTAGTGAAGCAACACAGTTGGGTATCAGTGACCAGGTGCATAAAATAGTGGAAGTTCAGCAGCATGAAATGCCATCTGCAGAATCCACTGATGTGGCAGGTTTGGCCACAAGGAGTCAACATGTTGGACCTTTGAAATCCAGTACTGAAAATGTAAGTGTCTAGACCACATTGCCCAAAATTGAGGGTTACAACCCAAATGAGAGAGGGAGTCAAAAGGAAACAATCCTGAGGATAAGGCATAAGGTGCGTTTTGCCAGCCAGGGATTGAAAAAGTAGTCAGCTGGGGCTGCAGAAGAAGCAGAAGATCCAGAGTTAGCAGAGTCTTGGTTAAACTTGTGTCAGTACTGGGTGAGGCTGATTGTTCTGGGTTCTTCACAAATTAGAGGGGAAGATAGTGAAGATAGAAGTGGATACGGGCGCAAAGGTGTATCTGATTCCCAAATTAGTCTACAGGGAGAAGTTGAAGGCACTGCCATTGTAGGCTGCAAAGATTATCCTACAGACATATATGGAACAAGTGATGCCACTGAGAGGCTATTTCGCCCTATGAGGGTGAAAGTGCAGTTAAAGGACCACTGTGCAGAATTGCCACTAGTAAAAGGCAAACACCTTGCATTGTTCGGACGTTCTTGGTTACAAAAGTTAATGTTGAATTGGCACATGGTTAATACACTGGTAGACTCAAAGATGAGTTTGCAAGAGATCCTGGACAAGTATAAAGATATCTTCAATGGAAACCTTGGGGGAAACGAAAGGTGTCGTCATTAAAATACAGCTGAAACCGGTGGTCCATACTAGGAGTCTGGAGGCAGGATCATTATAGTATGCCATCCAATCTAAAGTGGAGGTGGAACTGGAAAAGATGCTGAATATGGGAGCATTGGAACCTGTAACCATCAGTGAATGTGCCATTCCCATCATTCTGGTCATTAAAAGTAGATGGCACGGTGAAGAATTGTGGTGACTTTAGGGTCCCAGTCAACACAGCCCTGATTGCAGATCAATATCCACTTCCACGCATAGAGGACCTATTCAGTGGGCAGCAGGGGGAAATAAATTATCGAAAAATGATCTGTCACTGGCCTGCTTACAGAGGGGTTGCGAATGAGTCTGAGCCGCTCTTGATTACAGTGACACATGGGACTTTTCCCCTACGAGTGAATCCCTTTGGCATCAAGTCAGTGCTGAGTGCCGTGGACTAAATTTTAAGTGGGTTGCCAAATGTCCAGTGTTAGCTGGATAATATTTTGGTTACTAGGTCCTCAGAAGAGCATTTGAGAAACCTAGGAGAAACCCTAAAAAGGTCACAGGAGCATAGTCTACAAGTAAAAAGGGAGGAATATGAGTTTTTTTTTTAGGACTTCATTGAGTACCTGGACCATGTAATCAACAGCAAGGAGGCCGTTATAAAAGTCCCTAGATGAGAGAATGTGTCTTAACTGAGATTGTTCTTGGGACTTGTCAATTGCTACAGCAAGCTCATCTTGGATCTGGCAACCATGCTAAGACACTTGCATCACTTGCTGAGAAAAGGGTGGCCATGGGAAATGGACCTTGTGATGTAAGGAGGCCTACTAGAAGGTGAAACAAGCCTTAAAAAGGTCAGAAGTGTTAACTCCTTTTGACCCAAAGTTACCACTACAATTAGCATGTGACACCTTGCCTTATAGGGTTGGCACTGTACTTTTGCACATCTTACCAAATGGAGAGGAAAGGCCCATCATGTTTGCATCAAGACCACTAATGAGTTCCGAGGAGAATTATGCATATGATGATACAATGTCTTTAAGAGGTGTATTTTGTCCTGATTTTTTAATGAAGAGACGGAGGTATTGAGTGGTCTGTTCCTAACAAATAAAGTAAACAGCTTGTGAGGCCTTGGGGCATTTTTTGTTGAAGTTGGAACACTAGAAGCAGCATGAAGGGGTGGGGTCAAGCGCCTATAAAACCAGTAAAATTCAGTAGTTGCTGGGGCCTTGAAGCTGGATGTGAAAGCTGTTGTTCTTTTCTCTGTTACAGCTAAAAGCTGGGGTTTTCTTCCTGCTGCTAGAATTGCATGCGAGACAATCTATTATACTGAATTTTCCTTTGCCAAGGCTGTGTTTATGGGATATTACTATATTGGAATAGTTGCTGTTTAGTCATTAAATAATCTATTATTCTGTTAAATTTTCAAATAGAGTTAAGTTATTCTAATTCTTTCTCTTGTTTGTTTGTATTTTAACTATGGTGTAAGAATAAAGTGTTTTTGCTTCAAGCATGCTAGTTTGATCAATCAATTTGCATCCAGAACCCAATGCCTTATACTTACCTTTAGAATTAAGAAAATGTTGGGGATCTGAGTGGGCTTGGCCTAGTATACATCAATGTTCAAGTCAAAAAAGAGGGATTGGGCATCTTTTTCGCTTTAAGAAGTTTGCCTGTTTTCTTTATGGCAGGCACCCATGCTGCTGACTGACCACAGCCCACTAACCTCCATTTGTGGCCTGAATATGTGACTGCATCAATGGCTGCAGCATGCCTACAGAGAGAGGCACTGGCTGTGTCAGCCTATTCATATGAAATCAAATACTGACAGGCGGAGAACCAGAACAATGCAGGTTTTTCAAGGCTTCCACTACCGGGGGATACAGATGTTCCCGACTGCGACCTGAAAATTATGTACTTTTACCAAGAAGACTAGGTGACCAGTGTTAGCGAATCAGGTATGGAACATTTTTTGGTAGGACTCGGATTTAAGCCAAACAATGGACCTAATCCTGACAGGGAGGACCAGTCATTGTAACCACCCAGAATTACACCTTACTTTTCAAGGAAGTGGGAATTGTCTGTATTGGACAGGTGTTTATTGTGGGGAATAAGAGTTGTTGATCCTTCTCTATATTGTGTGTAAATCACCACAACTTACCTTTAAATTGACTAATTACTAAGAAATTCA